TAATGTCCCCCTCTGTAATTTCAAAGAGCAAACTGACAGCTTTTGATGGCCTGTGCTAAAGATGGGAATCATGGGCTGGAGGAGGATCCATAACTTCACTCACACAGTATTGAATTCTTCATGTAGCTTCAGACATTTCAGCTTCACAATTAATCTGTTCTGGACGAGACGTGTTCCAAACGAAAACTTTTCACTTTTTTTGTGTTGCTGCATATATTTTAAAACTAAATGATGCAGCTGCTGTTTTAAAGGACAGAATTTGTGAAATATATGCAGTGGACTTAACAGTCACCCAATTTCAAACACGCTGAACATCAACGGAAGATTTTCAGCCAATGCTTTGCACATGCATAATAAAACACCACAGGAAGGAAAATATTTTGGAACAATGATGGTCACTCCTCCAGTCAAGCTGCAGAAAATGAGAGCATCTGTTCCCTCCAGTTTGTGGAAAATACAATTTAAAATAATAAAACATTTACATAAAATTTTAATGATTATTGCATAAATGTATAACTGTCCTCCTCTTTTCAACAAAACGATTTGTCCACATTTACTGTTTGAAGTATGTCCTTCGTGTTTATGTCACAGTTTATGTCACTGAAAATGTTTCTAGTTCGATACCTGCTTCAGCCGGTGTCCTTCTGTGTGGTGTGTCCCTGTATGTTCTCTTTTTTTATGGTCTTTCTTTGCACCAGCTTCCTCCCACAGTCCAAAGACATATGGGATTAGGATAACCGGAGACCTTTAATTGGCTGTACATGGTTCTCATCAGTTTAACAATAGCAAATACAAAATGCTTTTTTACTTTTAACTCTCGGGATCAATTTAGAAGATTTTTCTAGAGTCACAAACAGAACAGGTCATACACTGACATACCTCTTTTCATTTGTCCTCACACTGTTGTCCCCTTCACTGGAGAATGTATCAGTTGCAGATCAAAAACAACATTTAACAGTTCTGTCTCTGTTGCAGGCTTCTCCTGCAGCCCTGGCCAAATGTGTTCTGGCAGAGGTCCCCAAACAAGTGGTGGAGTACTACAGCCATAAGGCCATCTCCCCCATGTGCCCGATAAGGGACTTACCCACGCCAATCCTCAGCCCAGTCGCCACCACCCCGACAGAATAACCACGCCTCCTGGGACCCAGCTTTGACCGCAGCACCAGTCTGGCAACCGGAGAGGGAGAGAAGGCACATGCCTCGCTACTACGAGAACTGAAGAGAAAAATCTTTCTAGATGTGGTGTTGCTCATTTATTTCGCGTTTCACTCCTAACAAAGTGTTTGTATGAGAACAGTGCGGCAGCAGCAGTGACTGTGGGTTTTGTTTCTCTGCTCCGTGTGGATCCTGCACTTCTCCCTTGCTGTGCATTTTGACCATCCAAGCTGTTTCAGGATCATAAATCCTTAATTATGTTTTGCTTTTCCCTAGTTTTTATGCATGCAAGCCAATCCCTCAGTGCCGATCCATGCACTGGATGCAGGCCTATTATTCCTTACTGCTCATGAAATTCTGCACCTCAACTATGTATATTATGTTACTTTTCTCTTATCTTCAGACAATTTTAGAGATGTACTGTACAGTATATTGCAGAAGTGAATCACAGGAAGTATAAAGAAGTGTTGCCTTTCTAACTTTGGACATTGACTTTCCAAAATGCATCTGGCTGCAGGATTGGCCTTATTTTGGATTACAGACACTATTTCCAAACATGCACAGATCATAATTTCAAATTTTAGCATGTCACCATTTGACACTGGAGCAGAGTGAATGCAAATTCAAAACTGCTTAGATTTATTTTAAAATGGCAGTAGAGAACCGCAGATATGGAACTATGGAAATATCATTCAGCTCTGATGCGTCCACCACCTCAGACCTGTTCATCTTGTGCATCTGTGACACTGTGCGTGTGATAATTACGTTAACAATGCGTTTTTCATACGCCTTTTAGGTACGTCTAACAATTGACAGCCAGAGGACACAGTCAGGTCATCAGCGTGCAGGATGAAGTGGAAGATGTGTTTGGGTCACTGTGCAGTGACAAAAAGTTTTCAGCAGCTGTTTTCAATGAGGTTAGCTGAATAAGATCTATTTATGGTCTTTTGTCGAGTGGTGATGGTGAAAGTCCTTTGTCCATTATTGTCCTCATCCCTCTGCCAGTCATCTTGCACATAGCACTCTGCATTATATTCTGCCCTTTCTACTGCTTTGTACATGTAATATAATTCATACTCAGTATTTTACAAGTAATTTGACTGGTGAGCAGTCAACTTAAATCACATGAAAGCACAAAACCCACCACAGTGAGAGCTTTCACACATGATTTATAGTGCATTTACATTAGAAGAGTAACGAGTAACATTATTTCCAAATTACATAAACAAAGTATAAACATTTTCTTGTCATTGCACATGTGCATCACCAGAACAAACTGTTCTGTGAATCTCTTATTTTACAGCGAGCCTGAAGGACCACTGTTTACTGGAAAGTCTGCATCTGTTTTTTTCTGCTGTTCTATTAAGCTTTAAAATGTTCCTCATACTTAAAAGCTATAACCTTCACTCCTACTTACCTCGTCAGATTGTCTTCACAGTGTTCAGAGTGTAGCCTGTAATGAGTCAGAATGTGGCCTCTGTTAATGCTACACAGAGAGAAACAGAAGCTCTCACTGAAACCAGAAAATACCTACATGACAACTAGCATCTATATGATCTGAGAAGATGTGATGTATTCAAGTCACATGTAATTACATCGTCACGACAGACAAAAGACTTGGATAGATGAAATGTGTTCTCTGTTTTCAAAAGCCACCCTCCTGGCATTTAAACCATTTTATCACTTATGAAAGAGCCCAATCCCGAAAACATGCATTATTGACTGCATGTACAAACTGGAAGGGCACTTGTTGAGCCAATACCTCTGCCAAGGCTTATTGGCCAAAATTGTGCCCTATCGCATATACGTGTTTTGATATCAGATACATCCCGACCATTACCTGGATTCGCACAAAATCTGTTCATATACATTAGTATTCTTAAAAATTCTTCTTCTACCAACTTTAAAGAGAATTGGTTTGCTATTTTGTGTGTAATCGTGCTAAACAGGCAACAAAAATGCTCTACTGCTTTCACATACGACATAAACACAGAGTATTGTGGTTCATTATTTAGAAGTTCTTTATGTGCAGTCTGTTCTAGTAACAAATCTACACTTTGTATATTTGCTTAGTGTATTTGCAGTATCTTAAATGGTGTGTTTCTGCTCTGACTGATGCTGAATGATGACTCATTCATTCAGCGAGAGATCAAGCTGTCACTGCCATTGAATGCATCAGCAGAGTTGGTCTTCAAATCCACGCTACACACACACACATCCACCTCTCAGCTAAAGATATTAATCTGACCTTGGTTTGTCCTCTGGAGCTTCAGCAGCCCTCCCAGATATTGACTACACTCATGAATGCACTGAAACCCAGCTCTTTGAACATCACAGGTATTGAGGATTCCCCTGTCACAGAAAGAGGCCTATTGATTGTGCAGGCCTTAAATAGGAGTCGCACTCCATCCTTACTAGCAAGTAATGGAAGGAGTTTGGTCTCCATGTGATGGAGGAAAAAACAAGGAAATACTCTGTTAGTAAATGGTGTGTAATTATTTAGTACTTTCTAGTGTTGATGACCACTCAAAGCACATTACAGTACAGGTTATTGTCATTCCATTCACACACTCATTCATATAGTGCATCTATGGGCAGCAGTTTTTTCTATTAGGGGCAATTTTGGGGTTCAGTATCTTGCCCAAAGACACTTTGGAAAAGACTGGGATTGAACTGCCGACCTTATGGTTAGAGGACAACCAGTCTACCCCCCAGGTCTGTTAAATAGCATTTGACATTATAGGTTAATTCATGTGAAAACAGGTCTTTTCTGTACAAAGACATAATTGTTTTTGTAGTAACACATTTTAATACAATCTTTTATTTCCCTCAGTGGTGATCCGTGCATTGGATGCAGGCTTATTACTCCTTACTGCTCATGACATCCTGCACCTCATCTATGTACATTTACTACTTTTTTATCTTCAGACAATTTTAAAGATGTACTGTACAGTATATTGCAGAAATGAATCACAGGAAGTATAAAAAAGAGGTGATGACCTTTCTAACTATGGACATTGAGCTTCTAAAGTGGAAATGAAAAAGAAAATACTCTGTTAGGATAGATAACATCTGATATTATAGGTTATTTAGTGTGAAAACCAATATTTTTTGTGCAAAGGCGTATTTGTTTTTGTATTTACACATTTTAATACCGTCATTTTAATACAATCTTTTATTTTCATATATTCACTTGTAAAAACATGTATTATTATGTGATTCTAAGCATTCCTCATTCTCATACGAATTACAACACAAGAAGTGTGACCAAAAAGTTTCAGATAATTGTCACAAAAAAGTATTTCTGAAAGCCTTTTAAACCAGCTTCGTGCTTTTCAATAAACCTAGAGTGGCCACTCATTCTGACTAAATAGCGTGCGGGTATCAAGCAGTAAATCAGTTCCTTGAGGAACCGGCACAACTTGATATCTAAAAGTGGCTGGCACTTCTTCTGTGATTCATGTCTTGGTAATTCACGATTTGTCCCCTGTCCTCTTATTGCCACTTTGCCTCAGGTTATGAGCTGCACCAGCTCAATGGTTCATTACCCTCTTACGCTATGAAATTTAATTCTACAAGAGATGGATGACTGACCTTAGTACCTACATAGTTCTATTCCTTTATTTAAAAAGTAGGTTTTTAAAATGGGGCATGCCTTTCTGGGGTTACCTGAATTACATAGTATGTTAAATGTCTAGTGGTGATAAATGTTAAAAAGTGATGCATGGTTCTCTAAGGCCTCGCCAGACGTGCGCCAAACAAATCCCCTTCGCTGAAACTTATTTTTAATGATCATCTTTTTCATAGCAATCAGCCATGTAAAATGCTAAGGTGTTCAAAGAATATCATTGTGTGCCTGTGTGCAAGAAACAGCTGAACCCAAGTGCTCAGCCATGTGGTGTTATCACTTGAAAAAATCAACTATATTCTGTGTCTTAATGGGAACTCATCATTCTGTGCCGCTGTGGTGCAAACAACAATGAGCGAAAGCACTGGAGACAGTAAGACCACGATCTGTGTGGTCTTCTTCCACTGCGGATTTACAAAAAAAAACCTTGAAGAATCCACCAAGCTGCTTATTTTCCCTTATCAATACTTGCACCATTGTCAGACCAAATTAACAAGTTGAAGGTTTTACATCACAATGATGTAATTTTTTCCCATACCATCTCTCTCTCTCTCTCTCTCTCCCTTTCTTTCTCTTTCTCTTTCTATCTCTCACCTATCCACTGTAAATCAGAACAAGGTTTACAGCCCGTGGCCCCAACATGCAGTGTACCTACGGGTGAGAATTAAGCAGCACCGTGCATCATGAATAAATATATGATTTTGTCAAAAGGAATAAAGGGATTTATTGCATGCTTACTTTTACTGTTAAGCTGTGCTGTGCCAGTCATTCCTTTAGATTGTATGATATGCTAATATGCAAACCTGCATTTGCACAAACATCTGTTCTTGTAGTTTATGCTCTCTGTCTTGCGGTTAGGTAAATAAATCTCTTCAGTTAACCAAAGCTGTCTCTGTTATTTGTCGTTCTTACTGAATTCAGTCTCTACTAATTTGTCGAAATAAAATTAACAAAACTGAATTCACAGCTGCTACAGTAGTTTCCTCTGAACCTGTGATTAGCTGCACACTGTACCAAAGGGAATGAATAGAAATGAGACAATGGCGTTGATGTGCTCGATGAAATGATGAAATGTAGGTTATGCGCCCCTGCACACGTTTGGCCCGTGTGGTTTGGCTGCTGGTGCTGTGTGAGTGCCTACTGCATGGAGAGAAGGACTGAGCCTACTCTTTAAATTCAGACAGCTCCTTTCATTTAGCAGCTATTGTTGAGAGCACTGAATAACGGTTGTTTCCATGGTTACACCTACTTGTGGGGAGACACAGACCTTCATTTTTTTTTGTCAGATTCAGGGACAGAGATACAGGATGTGGCGCGGGCTCTGGGAGGAGGCCATCTGCACATTCTTATTAAAAAGAAGGGGTTTTGATTGTGGCTGTTGCCGTCCTACGTGAGGTCACTGAACGTGAGCCTCAGGTGAGCTCCTTGTATAATACAACCCCCCCCTCTCACTCTCTCTCCTGTTGGCCGTCCCTGGCTGATTTATAGGCACAATTAAAAAACACTCACCACCACTTAACGTTCACCGGTAATAAAATCAACAGCATGCAGGCGTGCATCCTCGGACAAGGTGCTATTGTTTTGTGGAATCAGCTCATTACCTCCATGTTATCAGATTAACTTTAGTGCCTTTAAACTCAGCTGGGCTTCCCCGGCACTGGTGGAACTGGGGCTGGGGGGTGGGGGGGGGTAGGTCTTGCTGGAGGCGCTGTACAGACAGAAAGGACAGTGGACTCTTTGGTTTTAATTCCCAGTGGCTGATTGCCTAACGCACGGCTGTAATGAGGAAATGACTAATAAGAGATGGAGAACAGGAAATCTCAGCAGTAATTAGCTGTCCCCTCCTTACCCTTAGGGAACAGAACACACCTTTGAAATGCCTCCAGCTAGCTCCTCTGATGTCGTCGCTCACATGCTTTCTATACCCCAGTCGCCCAGAACATACATGTGTATATATACACACACAGATGCACTTTGAAGAACTAAGTTGAGAATATATCCTCGATAGACTATTTTTACATATGCAGCACTTTAGAAGAAGGAAATGTTTTTTGTTCAACTACACGTTACTGTTGTTATGAAAATCTATTTTCAAATGATGCAGTGCTCTGAGTCACCGGCAGCGTTCTCAGTGTCCTTGGTTGGTCGTGCGGAAAGCTTGACTGGAGTGAGTCTATTGAGATGTCAATGGATGAATCATCTGAAATCAAGACTCACACACGCTGACAAGGAGGAAGAGAAGACGCAGCTCAACAGAGACTGCCATTGTGATTGTTTAGTTAAATTGACCCCTGGGAAGATTTTGCACCATCAAGCAGTGACACATTTCCATGATCTCTCTCTCTTGTTCTGGTCAATCCATGCACATTTTCTCTCTTACACACATACACACTAAATTGCAATTTCAACATTGATTTTGTGATCTAACTGGGCCATTGTCGCTGCTTGTGGGAAAAAAAACAGCCCTCACTACAAGCATTCAATATGAGTTTTCCTGTAACATTAATTTAAGTACTTTTCCTCATCCTAATGTTGGAGGAAATGAAAAAAGCTGGTGGCTTTGTGAAGCTGTGCTGTCCAGGGTCTTTGTAAAAAGGAAACTTACACTTTCCTCTGGGGTTTAAAGTACCTGTCTGCAGAAGAATAGACTGCAAGACATTCAGATGTGACACAGACCCAGGCTCCTCTGTCTGTGCCTCTGACACCCACAGATATAATAATTTAATTAGACTCTAGGGTGCCTCGTTGACCTGCAGGAGTGTGTCCTTGGCTCTCTACAGCAGGAACAGCAGTCCTCATTCTCTGCTCCATGAAATCTCCTTTCATAACTTCCCACTATTCATTCCTAATATTGTGTGAGTCACGGGACACAAGGCGGGGGGGTGACCTGGACACCAATCTTTCGACAAGATTTTCTGTGTGGCATTTATGTCACCAATTCTAATAAAAGTCATTATTTGTCATAATTGAATCACTGATTTTTACAAGGGGAGATGGACACCATCAACCTTGTTATGAATATAACTTGGGGTGGTGGTGTGGGGGACAACACCCCTGCAGGAGAAAACTGTATGCTTGCACTGACTCCTGATTTCCTGCCTAAGACAGTAAAATCATAATGGATGGTCATTAACCACTGGCTACTGATCGGATTTGTCCTGATGCTGCTGATGGTCAATCCGACTCTGACAGATGGTCAGTGTGATTGTGTGGGGGGGAGATATTTTTACTTGAAAAAAAATAAACTGAGGATCCCAGATAGCAGCATTAATTATAAGATTTTCACCTGCAAACACAAGTTATCTATGTGCATGCCCCTTAGAGTTGCCTTCTGGTCATAATTCTTGAGAACATAAGGAAGCAAAAAGGACTGATGCAGTACAGATGTCTGTTGAGGATGAAATTCATAACCATATGTTTAATTTTATTTTCCTATTTTGTATCATCTGCTGGGTTGAGTTTTGTTAGACTTTACTGACTTGTGCCAACTATTCAGTCTCAGTGCTTTGGGCAGCAGCTTGTTAAATTTCTGGCTGACATCACCAAGGGAATCTGTTCGAAACAAAGCCACACACAAGTCATGTTGACAAATTCAATATTCCCTCTTTTCCCACTCTGGTTTTGGTCTCTACCAACACCAGGGGGAAATATCTGGCTCTATATTAGCTGAATGCTGCACAATATTCAGAAACCAGTCTGTAACAGTGTTTATCTTTTGTTTTGGTGCAGAGCAATAGTGTGTACAGAGGGTTTTACAGACAAAACAACACTAGGAGAGCAGTGAGAGTGAATGTTATTGGTCAGCTAAACAATGAGCCAGGAGTAACTCTAGAGCTCTGGAAAGCTGAGGGGACCTGCAGGTTTTATTGATAATTCTGACTGTTCATCAATTTGACCCCTTTCACACTCATCACTTGATACTTTGTCTTTATAAAAAATATTGATTATTGCTGTTTTAAAGATAATCAAATGACTCCACTGAGGTCTCAGACAGGGTTGTGATGAGGTATTCCTGTCCTCTTGTCATGAGTCGAACATGTTGAGAACTGCCATAGATAATGATGTTATCCAAAATATGTAGGCAGCAACATAGGAGCCATGAAGATGTAGGACCTGCTGAACTAGTTTAGTTTTATTTAAATTAGTTGAGTTTAGTGAGGATGAAATACAGTCAATATAAAAGGAAGACATTCCTGTACAGAAAAGGAAGGAAGCCCACAATTATTTTTCAGATTCTTCTCCTTATTCAGACAAAAATAGATGACATTGGCTGTGGCTCAGGATGTACAGCGAGTTATCCACCATCCCGAAGGTCAAGAGTTCAAACCTTCTCCAGTCTCCTTGGGCAATTAAACTGAACCCCAGGTCACTCCTGTCAGCAATAGGTGTGTGTTATTAATCCCTATATACATATATTCTATATGTGGATGTGCTGAATCTGTGGGCGAGGGCAAGATTTTATATGTTTTCTGGTTTCTTGTTCTAGTTTGAACATTGAGCCAAAATATTGTCAGGACTTAAAACAACTACAAAAAATTCAAACTGTTTGTGTTTTGTGTGCAGAAACATTCAAGTCAGACTGTAAACTATGGACGGCGAGTCTTAGCCCGTGCACCTGTATGTAGTGTGATGGCTGCCCTGCGGTGTTTAGAGGATGTAGACAATACAAGGCTATAATGGCTCTTCAGAGACGCTGATGCTGATTTTCAGGTCCATCATTATGATTTGCAATTATGTCTTAACCAGGTTAAATGACTGTGTGTACACGCTCATGCTAATTATGGGAGTCAGCATGAGGACCATACACACAGCGTGCACATTTTCACCGTGAAGGTGATTTAATCAAATCAAACTGAGACGATGGTGCAGTTCAACATTTAGGTTTCATGATTAGAGTGCACTGAACAAATTATTGTATCATTTTTATGTGACCTCATATTTTAGTACACTTTGGTTTAAATACTGGTGATATTATACAAACTCATGTGACTATTTTTGCTTCAATTTAGTGCCACTGGTTATATCTGCTATCCTTCAGACCTTAGTTGGGTACTAATTGTCTCATTCTCACAGATAAGTGGCCGACAGCATGACCTCATGTTCAGACATTTTACAGATGCTCTGGAAAATGTCACCAGTGTCATATCCTTTGAATAAAAGAGAAATAGCTTTTCCCGACACACATTTAAAAGTCACATACTACGAATGTTAGGATAAAGCAGATTTCTGAAATTGTAAATCACAAAAGAAGTCTTGTGTTAATTGACACACATACACACAAAAATGCAAAACTGTGTTGAACATAATAATTTTTAGGTGAAAGGGAACTATTGGCAGATGTTTAATGTAGAATAATCCTCATGATGTTTTCACTAGTTCGTTTCATCTAAATTGTATGAATTGTAGTTTTCTTTACCCCAGAAAAATACTTTATATTTACATCTAGGGGACCCTCTCTACGGACGCCATGTTTTTTACATTAGTCCAGACTGGACAAACTAAAACCTTTTGAGTTTTTATGACAACTGAAGCTACCACAGGTTCTTTTTCACTTTTGGAAGGGGAGGGTGAGGTGAGGGGTGTTCAGCTGCAACATGAAACTTCATCTCTAGATATCACAATATTCTACACACTGTACCTTTAACAGAATGTTTTGTGAATGTGTTATTCTTTGTTTGGTATTGGGTTTATGTCATGAACTAATTATCACTGTATAATATTGTATTTGGACTTTGTTTTCTTTTTGTACATTTGGATTTTTGGATTTATCTTAGTTTGCACATTAAGTTAAGTTAGGTTTCTCTGTTCTGTAAATTTTTTGCCATTTTCCTGTCTTTATTCATACTGA